ATTTCTCTCGTGCTTTTACTAAGTGTTGTGTCATCTTTCTTTTTGTAAACACTTTTACTTGAATCACTTGTTGAAATGGTTGATGCTCTATAAGCCATGGGTGATTCAATAACGTATTCACCAAATAGATCATGTAACTTCTCCCGAATACAATCACTATGCTCACGAAAACTGCTTCCATAGAGTTTTTTGTAAGTAAACTCAACATATTGCATTTTATAACGTGGATCCAAAACTGCAGCCATGGCCAAAATTGGACTATACTCGGACCAATATTTAGAGAACTTCTCATACATTTTGCAAGCCATTATCTTTATAAACGTATCCGAACTTTCTATTTCTTCTTTTAAAGTTCTTTCAACCGTGGAAACTGAAGGAAAATATAAGTTTGCTGTGCAATACTTATTTCCAGAAAAAATGCATGTGACTTCATAAAATACTTCCAAAAATTTGAAAATCTTTTCTAATTTGCCCCATTCTTCATTACTTGGACAATCTAAGTAATTAGAATCACTTAGTGCTAAACGGAAAAAAGCACGACGATAAAAAAGGGCACTTTCAATCATAAGAAAAGTAGCATTCCATCTAGTTGGAACATCTTGTCGCAAGCCTTTATTTGGATTCAAATTAACCTGTTTCACACAATTCAGAAAGTTTCTTTTCCTTACTGAAGATCCCTTCACGTACTTGATAGATTCTCTAATTTTGACAATCCCTTCATCAATAGCCTTCAAGCCATCTTGCACAACTAAATTCAACACGTGAGCACAACATCGAACATGAAAATAATCTCCGTTACTATGAAGTGCACCTTCATTACATAATTGACCTTTTAGGAGATTGACAAAAGTATCATTACTTGCAGCATTATCTAACGTGATTGTAAACAACTTTTTATCAATCCCCCAATTGGTCAATAAAGTAGATATTGTTTCGGTCAAACATACGCCATTATGTGGAGGTGGCATATATTGAAAGTTCAAAATTCTTTTTTGCAACTTCCACTCCTCATCAATAAAGTGAGAAGTAACACACAAGAAACCATCTGTGTTAATAGAAGACCACAAATCAGCAGTTAATGAAATTCGACCAGGAAGTAACTCAAACAATTTCTTGAGTTTTCCTTTTTCTCTTTTAAACAAATTCAGCACATCTTCTTTAGCGGTGTTTCTAGTAATTGTGGTAACTTTTTCATTTAAGTAACTAAAGATTTCTCTAATACCCTCATACTCTACAAACCTAAAGGGAAGGTCATGCTTGACAATAGCTTCACTAATAAGTTCACGGAATCTTTCGGGTTTAAAAACTGTGGAATTTATTGAAATTGAACCACCTGATTTTGCAAAACTGAATTGTGCTATGTCACTTTTGTCCCTTCTTGGACACTTTGCAATGTGATTTCTCAAGCTACCTGTTCCATTTTTTGTTTCACAAATGTATCTTTTTTTGCACTTATCACATTCAGCCCTTTCCCTACCATCTGCACCAATTGGAAGTCTAGTATAATACTTCCATACCTTAGACCACCTTTCCCTTTCCATTTTTACATGATCTTCTTCACCCTCTACTTTAACATCTACCTCCACAACATCAATGTCATCAGCTTCTTCTTCAAGTTCTACATCCTAAAATAAAAAAGGAGGGTCTTTTTCAGAAATTATATAATTTAGATGGGGAAAAGTTTAAAAAAAATAATAAAATACCTGAGGAGCTACAGTTGCAGAATGTGTATCTGTTTTATTAAGCTTTGCCTTTTTTGTATTATGTGTTTTATCAAGCTTTGCCCTCTTCATGTCGATTTTCTTATCAAACTGTTTGAAATAAAAATTGGAAACAAATATTTAAAAGAAAGCTGCAATATGAAACTAAGAAAGCAATCAGAAGCAAAATATGGAGTGTACAGTTTATTAAAATAACAACAAAATTCAGAGTAATCAAGAAGACTAGAAGTATAAGTAAAATCAAGTATCTTAGAAACAAATATGGAGCAATATTAGAAGTAATCAAGAGATAAGACGTATACAACTTCTCCTTATTGCAAAATCAATCAAGAATTATCACAGAAATATTTTTATTTTCTTTTTGTATAAGAAACTACAAAAAAAAGCAAGTGACAAGAGTGCACAAATGTTTAGTGCTATTACGTATTTGCGTACTTAACGATATCACAATTCACAAAAGTCTTTTTCTAAGTAACCAGTTGCAACATTCTTTGAAAATTAAATAATAAAATTACCTTTCTTGCGTCAATTGTGGTTGAGATTTGAGAAGCAATAAAGCAAGTATATGAGTCAATTGCGATTGTCTGAACGGCTAAACCATAAACGAAACAAGTTTGAGAAGCAAGAATAGGAAACGGCTAGAGCAAATTGGTTTTGCGATCACCGATTGTCGGCTTGTGGTTGAGGGATTGTAGTTTAAAAACAAATAATGAACTGGAGATTCCTTTAACAAAATTGATTGCGTATGGTTTTCAAATAATACCGCCATCAACGGTTTATGGTTCTAGTTCTATTGAGTATTGAGAATGGGGAAATGCAAAACGCCGATTAGAATTTCTAAAAGTCTTTTGGGTTTTCAAAGAAGCCGATGGAAAGGCCTAGCCTAGGTCTTGAATCCTTAATTGTTTAATTATTTTAATGCATAAATTTAAATACCTATTATTATTATTTATTAAATACCTATCATTTAATAAAGTGTAAAATGGAATTATCGTGCTATTATCGTTTTAGTATCGTTCTATAGTCGTGTTTCATTTCGTTTTAATATCGTGTTATAGTCGTGTATATATCGTGTTTTAGTCGTGTTGTTATCGTTTCTAATTTCAAACACGAACACGACACGACACGACGTCGTTTTTTTTTTAAACAACACGAACACGAAACGAACACGAATTCGAATTTCGATTTCGTCCCAATTTCGTTTCGTGTCGTGTATTTTTGTCGTGTCGTGTCAACTTTTGCCACCCCTAATAAGAAGCGTGTTTGTTTTTTTAACATCTGCATGCTGTTGCAGATATTAAAAAAATAAAATAAATCGATTTTATAATCCGAAAATTGTTTTTTAATACCGAAAATTTAATAATGTATAATATTTCAGTAAGAATTTATGATATTTTAGTCAAAAATAATGATATTTTAACAAAAAATAAAGATATTTTAGCTTAAAATATATTTCATCAACAAATTATTATTATTCAATATAAAAAAAAAATTCAACAAGAATTAACAAAAAAAAAACGAAAAAAAAATGTGAAGTAAGATTTCAGGATTATATATAATCAATATTTTAGCAAGAAAAAAAGAAGAAAAAAAGGTTGGAAAAGGTAGGAACAGACAAAACAAGTGTCGCGTCAAGAAGAACACGCATAAATGTTTTTTAATCCGAAAACTTCTAAAAAACAAACAGCTGCGAGATAAAAAGTGTTGCGTTTGTGCTGCGCCACACAGAAATAAAATATCTGAAGATGTTTTTTTTTTTTTTTTTTTTTTTTAAACAAACATCTAAAATTTGAACAACTTACGTAACTAATAATATACTACTTGTTATAGTTTTATAAAGTAACCCAAATAAATACATCTAAACTTATCGCCTTCATTTTTGAAACCCAATATACATAATTAATTATAATTTATAAAATCTCTTTGTGAAATATCTATTAAAGGATACATTTTGATTTTGCATAATAAATAAAACTTTAAATTCCAAACCAAAAGCTTGGTCGGTTGTAGAAGTTTAATGAGATCCTATTCTTTTTTATTTATTATTTTTTATTTTTTTATATATAAAATTACTTGTTTGTTTATAGTTCCTTTCTAAATTGTAAACAAAATGAGTTATAAGTTGAAAACCTAATATGTAGTTTTTGCATAATATTAATTCCAAACTTACAAATATCTTCTAATGACCACCGACGTCCGACGGGCAACTCGATACAATCAAAGAAACATCATTCTAAAAGAATTATATATTTTTTAATACAATCATGATAAATAAATATATTTCAAAATGAAAAAAATCTCGACAACCCAACACAAACAAATATCTACGACAAACTTTGTCTGCCTTCATATTGGAATGTCACATTCCATTTTGAACAAAGACAAAACTCATTTCACCTCCTGAATTTTATATACCAATCAAAATTTAACATTCTAAATGAGCAATGACTTCGCCTCTTCTTCTTATATAAATCTTTTAAATTGCACAGTTTTTTTATAATATTTTTCTTTTGATAGATTAAAGAGTAAATTAGAAAACCCGTGGCTATGGTATACACAAATCCACACCGAGGATTCAAATTTCAAATATTTGACATGGTTAGTCTTTAATGTTTCAATATTTTGTACAAGTTGTACTTCAACTAACACTGCTAGAAAATCGCCATTACAGATATATAAAATTGATATCCCATGGAATCTGATTCGATACTATACAATACCGGTTCAGTATCAGTACCTAATTTGGGTTTAGGTTTTAGGTACTAATCACATGTTATTTGCGAAAATGCACATGACATTCATTTCTATTCTAATAAATAAAGTTTTTTTTGTTTACACTCTAATTCAATTTGATAAATGTTATTTTGTGGTTATTTTAATTAATTTCTTTTCCACATATCATTTTATAAGTTTTTTTATTTTAATAAATTGCACATAATACTTTAATATAATAATTACAATAAATATAGTAATAAATGAATATCAATTTTATTATTGGATTTAACTTCTTATTTCAAATATCCCAAATTAAAACTTATTAGTTTATTTTGTTTATTTATGTAAATTTAAAACACAAAAAAATTAATTTTAATAATTCATTATTATTATTATTTTTTTAATAAATTCAAAATTCTTAAATATTTAGACTTTTATATTTATACTTATATTTATAAACGCAATGTGTCTTACACCTAGTTTAAGTATTAAACAACAATGTAGTTCTAAATTAAAGCAAAAACCAATGTACTTATTTTCGGCAAAAACAACAATATACTTCACTTTTAAGCAAAAAAAATAGCAATGTACATTTAATTTAATTTCATAATATTATGTTGTTCGTTTCTAAAAACTTACTCGAACTTAAAAGAGGTGCACCAATTATGCGAATATGAAACCTTAATCAAAGTCGCATGACAATGCAACCATACAAGGTTGCACATAACAAAACTTGGAAATGGTGCCACTAAATGACAATGTCTACTTATGTTTGGTATATATCCACCAACGCAAATTTTCGTTGGAATATTTAAAAAAATTATTTAGGCACTATGCCATATTAATATTAAATATTAAATATGTAATATTCATGTTTTCTAACATATATTGCAACATTTTCTCAATAAAATGCTACCGATTTGAAGTTTTGAACCATGGTTCATCACTTATCGGAGCTTGATGTGTACAGGAGTGCAAGAGCTTCGCCTGCCTGCAGCTTCGTCGAGAACCTCAGCTTCCTGTACTCTTCGTAGGTGGTGGCCACATACACACGGGGGTGCTCATCATCCACAAGCTCCGGCAGCGGTTCCACCGCCTCTCTCGGCCCTAAAAGGAACGACGCAATCGAAACACGTATCTTCGCTTCTTTACACTGCACCCTATGCTTCACGTTACAAAATCTTCCATTGCTCCAAACCTTCAAGTAACAACGATCAATCAATTTACCATTGCGTCAAATCTAAATCGAATGAAAAAAACCCTAATTTGGTGGTTTAGGAAGTAGGGACGCACCGTTGCCATGTCGCCGAGGTTAACGAGAAGGGTGCCTGGCCAGGGATCGACGGCGATGAACTCGCCGGAGCTGTTCATGACTTCTAAACCGCCGACGCCTTCATCGTCTTGGAGGATGGTGAGGAAACCGGAGTCTGTGTGTATTTGGACACCAGGGGAACCAACACTTTCAGGGGTGAAGTGGTATTTGTTTATCCTGAATTGACATGGCCAATTCTCGAATCCGATATTTTCACTTTTGGCCCCTAGACCTTCGGCTAATTTCCCTACGATCCCCATAAATAGGTCATGTACTGCTCCAGCATATCTCATGATCGTCTCTCTGTCAAAATTGAAACTTCTATACAGTTAAATCACATGTGTTCATCAATTATTTCAGGATCAGTTACTTGTAAGAAAATCCATCTCTTTCAAACACCATGAAAGCGACTAAGTTCCTGTTATTTCTCGTTAATCGTTATTTACATATCATACGGAAAATGGAGGCCGTTGACTGATTCTCAGTGATGATCATGAAATATGTATGTACAGTTACAGAAAGAGGGATGAAGTACCTTTGATGAGGTGAAGCATCCAATTGAGAGCAAAAGGAATCGACGTCTTGAGGAGATGACATGTCATACAATCCGAGTGCTTCGTAGAGCGGATTTTTTGCCGATGGAGCCATATATCCGCTTCCGGTGATGACGTCGGTGTTCTGGCGCTTGATCTCCACCGGTAAATCGAAGAGTGATCTGACCACGGTCTTCATCTCCGACATCAGCGTCGATGGGAGGACTTCGTGGTGGTTGAGTAGCCGGAAACATCCCCATTCTTCGCATGCTGAGATCAATTTGGATAATTGGTTGGGGGAATCGAAATCTTGTAGATCGATCACCGGGATACTGCATTTGGTGGCCATTTCGTGAAGCTGAAATTTGCGTAGTAAATTGGGGAATTTATAAAGGGGAGTTGCAGAGAGGGATTTGTTTTTTGCTTCAAGGAGACAAATTGCCAAAAATACCGCCGAATTTTGTCTTTACTGTCTAACTAGAAAAAGATAGATTAATGGTGAGATGTAATTTAATAAAATTATATTTGATATTTTGTTACAAATCAGTGGTAGCTTTGTAGTTTTTAGGACCTTTTAGTTTCTCAATCTTTTAAAATTTTATTTTATGTAAATTTTTATTTTTAAAAGTTTCCAGCTAATTTGATGAACACTTTTATATATGTAGAAACTATAGTTTCTGACTTCCACATAAAAGTTAATTAAACTAACCAAAACTCTACACTTAATCAAGTATGTCCAATCAGAAAGATCAAGAATTATCATCTCGAAACAAGGTTTCAACACAATAAGCAATGAACAAGATTGAAGATACAAAATGAGATTGTAACCAATTAAAAGAATTTATGTGCTTTCTAACTTAATTTTGAATAGACAAATTTTTAGGAAGAATGGAATTTCCAAATCCGTAACAAACAACAATCAATAACTATCCATACCTTAGTCCTTAGAGAGATTGTGTCACGGTTTGTGGAGAATAAGACAATCGTTCTAGAGATGACTAAACTCATCACCGTTGGCTACTCGACTTCTCTAGAAATTATCTTCCTCGGCTTATCAAGAAATACGAAAAAATTCAGATCTTTTTTAATATCTGGAATACAATGCCTATCCACATTACTTTGAAAAATTTCCTCTATTTTCCACTTCATTTTAGCTTTCGTTTTTGAAATATGTTGCTCATTTCTAATCATATACTCGAACTTAACATTGTGTTGTTAAACACCTACTTGACTAAAAATAGTTGCACTAACCGGCTAATATGTATCTTTGATCAAGCCACGGGTAATTGAACCACACATCTGATTGGACCACACATCGATACAAGGTTGAACATAACAAAGTTTGAAGGATAAGTGAGGTGTAAAACACATGATTAGAACGAAGTTAATATTCCTTAAAGGGTTTTCGGTACTGTTGCATAACAAATTTTGACAAATTTACATATTTAGTCACTCAAGTTTTTTTTTTTTTTTTTTTATTTATTTATTTATTTATTTATTTTTTAATAGACAGTTAAAGTTGAATTTTACATATCAATTACATCATTATATGACTTGATACACGGACAACCGATTACTTGAGTGGCTAAATGTATAAATTCGCTAAACTTTGTTGTGCTACAGTGCCAAAAACCTCATATGAGTTTTGCTCAATTTCCCCCAAACTTTGTTGTACCATGTCATGTCACCCATAAATCAGATACAATTTCTCTCAAACTCTTAATTAGCCTGTATTTTCTAACATTGAGGACCAATTGAACACAAAAAATACTTGAATGACTAAATATGTAAATTCGTCAAACTTGGTTGTGCTAAAGTGCAAAAACCCTTTCGTAATCATAGTGGCTTTGAATGATTAAATATATGACCATTTGATTTGCAATGACAATCCACAAAAGTATTGGACCATCAGTACTTAGGTAGTGTTTGTTTTTTGTCTGCAGATCTGCGTGACCTCTTTTGTCTACGCCGCACAGACCACGCGCAGACATTAGCCTTCGCAGACTGTTTGTTTTTTGAAGACTGCAGACCTAAAAATATCTACGCGCCCTCTTCTTGGCGCAGATGTGGACCAGAGTCTTCTAACATCTTCAAACATCTTCTGTCACACCCCAAAACCACGAACGGCGGAAACGTTCAGGGGTGGAGGACGTCATGTACAGTATCACAACAGTATAAAATAGTAAACAAGCAACAACACCATCCAGTGCATTATAAGTAAAGTTTTAATACATGTGTGTTCTTTCATTGTAACAAGACACCAAAAATATATAATCAAAATAAAAGACGAGACTTGTCTGCTCCGTCTTCTCAAAACCTGGCCACCGTACCTGTCTACTGATGACATGAGAATACAAGTTATTTTGAAAGAGAGTATCAGCTTTAAAGCTGGTGAATTCATAAGTATTTAAGTGTCATTATCTTGTTTTGAAAAAGTGTTATGAATGTCATGTAAACCTTTAAGTAAGACAGTTGATATAAGTATGAAAACCCTAAGAAATCTCTTATTTCCTACTAGTATGAAATGTAGTCTTCTACCAAGGCCCGAATGTTTTGTTATGACAATGTAGTCTTCTACCAAGACCCGAATGTTTTGTAAGTAAAACTGATAGCTTTTCCTTTTCTATTGACTAGTACTAAAAGTACTTAGTCTAACTCCTCGTTTATGTGAATGTATCACAAAATAAAGTAAATAGGAAAATGTACTAATGTAAGTGTTATCACTGGGTATTAGGATTAACACAACATCGCAATAAGCGGAATATATAACCTAATGAACATCCGAAGAATGTCCAATTATCCTCTGTAGCAGCAGCAGGGGGCAGGAAGGGTTAGTCCCAAAATTGATCTACCTAGTATAAGTATTAACCGTAGACCTCCGTAGATGGTCATCAACCACTGGTGCTAATCAGATGGGATTCAGAATGGTTAGTCCCGCCTAGATATCCCGTTGAACTGGGATAGAAAGGACAATTTACACAGAAAGTACTAATAAATCATCCTAGTAAGCCGAGATACAAGTATTCATGTATCATGTAAGCATATGTAGACGTACTCATGTATCAGGTAAGTATATGTAGATGTACTCATGTATCAGGTAATGTACTAGTATAGACTCATGAATGAACTGACTCTTGTGTGATTCCTTGTAATAGGAATAATGTTTTGTTTCTTTTAACTATCCCTATGATAATTAACTAAAAGGTAAGTGGTTGTTCAAGAATGTAAAGGTAATGGTTTTGCAAGATATCTAAGAGTTTTGAATAATAATTAAAAGTGACTTGATGTCATGTTAATAAACATTTCAAAACTAATACTTTTGTTATCAAGGTATTTTAAGATAGAAAACCATTTCATGCATCACATTTTGTAGTATGTGAAATCTGCTGGATGAAAACACAGTTATAAAATACTTATGAGTGATTTAATAACATGTTGTTTTCTACTTGTATCCCCCCCCCCATTAAAGCATTTAAAACATTGATTAAGGGGTATGAACTCACCTGTAGATGGTGGTTTGGATGAACTGAACGGTGTAGGATTGTTAGGCGTCAAGTAAGGACTTGTATACACACTACGATCCTAATGAACATATAATCACACATATATGCACTCAATTAGTCTTAGGTTACTAATTGATAATGTTAAGACATCCTAGAACATAATAAACACTTTATATAAGTGTTATAAGCCCTAAGGATTTGCATCTAAGCTATTGTGGGACAAGGTACTTGGGTTTAGGGTTCCAAAGGACCCTATACTTGAGTTTACTCTCCATATAACCTCACACATGGAGTTTACGGTTGTAAACTCTTGAGTTTACGGCCGTAAACTCCAAGACTTAATGTCCTTGGTTGTTTTGAGGTGTTAAATGATCCCTAGAAGTATTCCAACTTGGTGGTTTAATTCTTGGAAGGGTTTAGGGCATAGAAACACTCCTTTGAGGAGTTTACGACCCTAATGCCATTTCCTTTGGAGTTTACTGCCGTAAACTCCCTTGGAATGATGTTTTTGATGCTTTCAAGTCCCTTGCACATGTGGTATAGGTCTTAGACATTTATCCCAAGCATATGAAGGCCTTAGGCACACTTTGGTGCCTTTGTTTGATGTTCACGGCCCAAGAACCTTATTAGGGCCGTGAACTCACTTTGAGGGGTGTTTTTGATGTGTTTTGGTCCTTCATTTAAGTGGACACAATTCCTAGTAAATGTCTAAGGCTTTAGGTGCCTTAAAAGCACCCTTTTGTCCATGATTTTGGAGTTCACGGTCCAAGATCATCTTGGGCCGTGAACACCTAAACTTGGGTGATTCTTTGTTGTTTTCTTGTCCCTAATACACTTCTATAAAAGTCCAAGGTAGTATTATATCACGGGGGAAAGGCTAGGCATTGTTTCGGGAGTTTACCGCCCAAGAACACCTTGGGGACTAAACTCCTAAATCTAGTTATTTAGCTATCTAAATCATGTTATAAAAGCATAATAAGCTTTCTAACACTACTAGAGAGAGTTACTCACGTTTTAGGATAAAAACCTGAAGATCCGTGAGAGAGAAAATGACTTTTCTCTAGTTGGAAATGCGAATAATGAATGAATTTGGTTCAGAATTCTATTTATAGTCCTGAGATATTTTTGGTAGAAAATATTTTTATTCCTGAAATGATTTCTCATACAACAGAGTGTTGGAATAACAGTGTTGCACAAAACTCTAGTGCATCCACTCTCCTGATATTTCATGAAGTGTAAACCCTGAATTTCGCAAACTTACACGAAAAAGTCTGAAAATTAACTGTGACTGTTATAACTTCTATTGAAGTGATATTGTTTGTACAGAATGAAAATTTCTGGTTGTCACATCTTCTAACCTAAATATATATATATATATATATATATATATATATATATATATATATATATATATATATATATATATATATATATATATATTTAAGTTTTTTTTTTTTTAATTTATAATTTTTCTAACTATATTAATGATAAACAATTTGGAAAAAAAATACAAAACTTAAAAAAAACATTCGATATTACAAATATGATATTTTTAACAAATTTATAAATAAATTTTTATTACAATAATAGTCGTTGAAGTTGTTTATATAAATATGAAAAAAAATCATAATATATTATTATATTTTTTTGCCAAATTTTATAAAACATTATTCAATACACTATCATCAATTTCTCGAGAAAATATTTCTGGTACGTTTTTAATGAATTTAATTGAAAAAATCAAAATTTATTTTCATCAATTTATATATCAAATTCTTTGATCATTAATTATAATGTTTAGTTATAACTTTGCAATCAAAGTTGTTGGTTTTTTTAAAATATATACGTTAATTCATATAATTTTTATTTTTATTTTTTATACAATAATACATCAAAATTGTTCTATATTCGTTAATTATTTACAACAAAGTCATAAAAATATTAAAAAATCACTTTGCAGTTTTAAAAAAACAATTTATTTAGATTTCAGTTTATTTTAGTTGCCCGCAGATGTTAAAAAAACAAACAGTCTTCATTTTTCAGACTGCAAACGTTTGTTCCACCTCTTCTACTGCAGAGGTCTACAGATATGGTCCGCAGACTGTAAACATTTTACTTTAGAAAAAACAAACAACACCTTACTATTGGTATATATATACCAAAATGAATAACAAGAAAAATAGTTCTTCATAATTCTAAATGCAAATGAATAATAGAGATTTGAGTTTGACAAAGACATTGTTTACGAAAAAACTTCCATTGGAATGTCGTAAATAACTATTTAGGCAGTATGCCTCTATTAATCTTAAATATGTAATTTTCATGTTTTCTATTTTTCTGAACATAAACTCCAAACATATTACCACATTTTTCTCTACATATTGAGACCGATTAAAACCATGTTAATTACTTGTCGGAGCTTGATGTGCACAAGAGTGCAAGAGTTTCGCCTGCCTGCAGCTTCATCAAAAACCTCAAATTCCTGTACTCTTCGTAAGTGGTGGCCACATACACACGTGGATGCTCATCGTCCACCAACTCCGGCGGCGGTTCCACTGCCTCTCTCGGCCCTGAAAGAAACGATGCAATCGAAAAACGTATCTTCGCCTCTTTACACTGCACCCTATGCTTCACATTACAAAATCTTCTATTGCTCCAAACCTTCAAGTAACATCGATCAATCAACATCCCGTCAAATTTAATCGAATGAAATTTGGAACGAAAAAAACCATAAATTAAAGGTTGCTTGGAATTTGGAGACCCACCGTTGCCATGTCACCGAGGTTAACGAAAAGGGTGCCTGGCAATGGATCGACGGCGATGAACTCGCCGGAGTTTTTCATGACTTCTAAACCGCCGACGACGTCATCGTCTTGGATGATGGTGAGGAAACCGGAATCTGTATGTGTTCGGACTCCAGGGGAACCAACAGTTTCAGGGGTGAAGTGGTATTTGTTCATTCTGCATCGAGATGGCCAGTTCTCGAATCTAATATTTCCACTTTTTACCCCTAAGCCTTCGGCTAGTTTCACTCCGAGCCCAATAAATAATTCATGTACTGCTCCACAGTATCTCATGATTGTATCTCTATTAAAAATATACATTTATACAAAACCCAAGGTCATATACACAAAGCCTAAACTTTTGGTTCTTTTTGAATAATATGCAACAATTCATATCTTATATATTTTATACTGTATAACCTTAAAAATCATAAATTGTTGTCTATAGATAAATAATATTGTATATAAATCAATTTTTATTCTCATAAAACCTTTGATTCTTTAAAAATTTTGGTTTTATCTTAACATGATGTGTTAAAAACAAAACACTGCAGTTTTCTTTTTCTTTTTCTCATTTTTTTTAAAATTTTTTTAATATTTATCATAAGTTTACAAGTAACTATGAAATAAAATTAAAATAATAATAATAATAATAATAATAATAATAATAATAAAGAAATAATTTTTTTTTATATTTTTTTAACATTTTTACGTAAATATTTTTTCTTCATATTCATACCGAAAAAACTTATTTATACACGGAAAAAATGTTTAACTAAAATCCTATTTGTATTTTTTTTTAAATGATATGTCTTTAAATACGAGTTTTTTTTTTTGTCTATTGGTACGATTTAAAATCTTAAAAATACATTTTTAGAACCATAAATATGTATTAGACATAAAATATAAACGTCATTATATAAAGAAAATATATTTATACTTCTAAAAACATAAAATTATGTATTTATACTTCAAGAAAACATATTATATTTAAATATATATATAATTATATTTATTTAAAAAAAACATAAAAATACGTATTTATTCTTGTAAAAAGTGTATATGTACTTTTGTAAAAGTAAAAAAAAACATATTTATACATTACAAAATAAAATAAAATACTTATTTATGTTTCTAAAAAATGTATTTATGCTTCTAAAAAAATAAAAGAAATATGTATTGATAGTTTAAAAAATAAAAATATAGATTTATACATTTAAAAAGTATATCTATACTTTTTAAATATGTAAAAATATATATGTATGTTTTTAGAAAAATATTTATAATTTCTAAATTCATATTTTTACGAATAAATATAATATGAAAAACCTTTTATAACAGATAATAAAGACAAAAATAGAAAAACTTTGCAAAGTTCTGGTTTCATTGCACAAAAAAACAATGGTAAAATTGTAGTTTTTTGAAAAATGTAAGGGTTTTTATATTAATATGAAATAAAAATTAGCCAAAATTACACATTTAGTCTTTAAGCTTTTCAATCACAAAATAAAATTTACGAAACCTTTTTTTTTGCATGAATGATTCCTTTGAAACAAATATCGCACACAAATATTCATTTTAATGAACGCTCGTTAAATGAATATGTTAATTTGAAAGAATTATAAGGACTATATCTACTATTTTGTGAAACTTACTTAATGATCATTTATGAATTTCATTAAAGGATCATTTGTGAAATTTTAAATAAGCCTATTAAAATTTATATTAATTACTACAAATCAAATAAAAAGGATAAAAGAAACATAGAAAATGTAATATTTATATCAATAAAAAACTTAAAACTTTCATATTTTAATTATCTTGCAAATATATTTTATTTAATATATAAATAATTCTTGTAGTCTAGAATTAATCTAATATATTCAAACTATAATACATAACTAAATATTTTCGTTTTACATTTTATTTATAAAGTTGAAAGTACAAAAACATCATTTTGTTACTTCTTATTTTTTATGCGATGTAATTTTTAAGATGTATCTTTATTTTTCTCATACAAATATATTTATTGTTATGAAAAAATGATGTGTTACTTTGAAAAATACGTTATTATAAGAGTAATAGTATGTTGTTATTTTATTTTAAAAATATAAGTTTGCGATTTTAAATTAAATATAAAAATATGTTTCTTTTTTGGTTTCTTAAGTACGGTACATTTTATATTTGTTCAATATAAATTTTCGATATTTAATTCATAAAAATTATTTAGTTTTATCAAATTTAGAATATGTTCCTTAATAAGACATTGACTTTTCAAAGCAAACTTAACAAAAACATCAATTAACTAATATTTTTTTTTTTTTGAACCGGCAAATATAATATATAATCTACTCCAAACTAACATCTAAATTCACCTACGTTCACGACGAGATTTGAGCCATCGACCTCAAAGAGGGAGGGCTACACATACTTAATAATATAAATAAATATATATGAAATATGTTTATACATTTCAAAATGATATAACCTAAAATCAATTAGCAAATGAATCAAAATGATATATTAATTTTAAATAATGACTTTCTCTCAAGATTTCTTTAACATGTTTATCACTGATAGTTCTGACTTGCGACATATTTTATGTTAATTTAATAATAAAAATAACCATCATTCAATTTTTTATTTTATTTTTATTTTCCGGATCAATTACTTGTAAGAAAATTCATCTCTTTCAAACACCATGAAAGCGACCAAGTTCCTATCAATCTCATGCATCTCAGATCATCGAAATCAATCCATAAAAAATCCATTTTTCTTTATCTACATATCATACTGAAAATGAAGGCCGTTGATCGATTATCGATGATTATGGTGATCGTGAAATATCAATTTACAGTTACAAAAGAGGGATGACTACCTTTGATCCGGTGAAGCATCCAACTGAGAGCAAAAGGAATCGACATCATGAAGAGATGACATGTCATGAAATCCGAGTGCTTCGTAGACCGGATTATTCACCTTCGGACCCATATATCCGCTTCCGTTGATGACGTCGGTGTTCTGGCGCTTGATCTCCGCCGGTAAATCGAAGAGTGATCTGACCACCGCCTTCATCTCCGATATCAGCGTCAATGGGAGGACCTCGTGGTGGTTGAATAGCCGGAAACATCCCCATTCTTCGCATGCTGAGATCAATTTGGATAATTGGTTGGGGAAATCTTGTAGATCGATCGCCGGGATGCTGCATTTGGTGGCCATTTTGTGTAGCTGAAATTTGCCTCGAAAAAATTGCAGATTTATAACGGGTAGTTGCAGAGAGGATTTCTATTTTGCTTCAAGTTGACAAAGTGCCAAAAATACTGTCGCATTTTATCTTCTAGTGTCTAACTAGTGATGTAATTTAATAATATATTGATTAAATTAAATTAAAGAAATGGTCCATGTGATTAGCATGATTTTAAAGTTTTAGTGCAGTTTTTCGACTTTGTCAAAAAAAGTCCCTATTGCACGTTTTGATAACACATTCGGTCTTCCTTTTGTTAACATTGCTACAGGGTTCATTCTTTGCCACCCATCTATCCATTATTATATCATACTGAAACTACAGCTGTAAATTGGGTCAACCCAATCGGGTTTTTGGTTAAACCTGACCCTATTAAGTATTAAGGATGAATGTAGCAGTGATAGAACAGTAAAGATAATAACACCGAAGATTTGTAAAAACAGACAATTCAGATGTAAACAATATTAATAAACAGCCACATACAAATGCATTCAAAGATTATAGCGCTTAAAATATGTCTCACATCCAAATCAGTCTTTACAATTCTATACTTCTATTACAAGTTAAAATCTTTTTTCCTATTCTCATTTTGATTTGAGAGTTGTAACTTCGATTGCAAGACTTGTGTGTCAAATTAGTGCTAACAAGGCTTGTTTCACATGTTTCATCACCTCATCTACATAATCAAATAACAAACTAAAATAATATTACACCTAAGGTTAGTAATAAAACTAGAAAGAAATAGAGAATTAGTTTATGAAAAAATGTGTTTTTCTGAATCTTCTCAAACTAATCAATTGTTTTAACTTTTGGTTTCTATGTAATTTTACAATTTTAAATTCTTACAATTAGTTTGTCGAACATTTATATACAAGTAAAAACCACATCTTTCATATTCTAAGGAGGTAGTTTTACCAATACGTCCAATGCCCTCTCTCAATTTATTATTTTCCTATGAGCTTCTTCAATCATTAAAGTGAAAAATTGGTGTGTGAGTTGATGCCAAAATAAAAAATGTGATTTTGAATATGTTATCATTTGGTCATTTGTTATACCAGTCACCCAGCTCGTGGTTGACAAGGAAACGATAGTGGTCCGTGCACACCACTCCGGTCGATCGTGCTCATGGTCCTTCGTGTTGCTGACGACAGAGTGCAACGACCAATGAAATGGTTTTACTCCTTTGACATCTTTGATCACCGTGTAACGACTAGTTTATTTTTGGGTTTAGTTCATTTTTGGTCACTTAACTTTTGGTTTTGTGCTCATTTGGTCACTAAAGGTCATCAAACTTTTGGTTTTGTGCTCATTTAGTCACTTAACTTTTGGTTTGATCACATTTAGTCACCTAACTTTTAAAATTGTACTCATTTAATCACTAAACTTTTAAAAATTTTCAAAAGTTTAGTGACTAAATGAGTACAATTTTAAAAGTTAGGTGACTAAATGAGCACAAATCTAAAAGTTAAGTGGCCAAACCACAAGTTAAGTGATTAAATGAGCACAAATTCAAAAGTTTGATGACCTTTTAAAACTTAAAAATAGTTAAGTGACCAAATGAGCATAAAACCAAAAGTTAAATGACCAAAAATAACCTAAACCCTTTATTTATTTTTTTTGCAAAACTTTTACCTATAAATACCAATATACATCTTATATTTCACACAATTCTTCTTTACCTTTATTCACTTTCACAAATTTGTGTTGGTTGATCTTTCAAAAATCATGGCTCCCAAAATGCGGAATTGGTCGGAAGAGGAAGAAGAGAAGTTGGACCTACCATGGGTTTCAGTTTCGGATGACGTAAGTACTAGTGTGTCTAGAGATTTTTGGGGAAGAGTTCGAAACGTTTTCCATGATTTAATATTGTCCAAGTTGTAATATTGATGAAATATGTTTCAAGTTCTGGGATATGAAGGCAAAATGCCGTGAGTTCGACGAAATTTATAACTCTGTTATAAACAACGCACATAGGGCTGGTAATTCTCGACACGACACGCGACACGACACGAAATAAATGGGTTTGGGTTGAGTTTTTCAACCCGCCAACCCGCTAACCCGTCAACCCGCCAACCTGTTTATTAAACGGGTCATATATGGGTTTCTCAAAAAATAAACGGGTTGACCCGCCAACCCGTTTATATTCTTAATAAAAAATTATTTTATTTTTAAATGTATTTATATATCAAGTATGAATATTTAATAAGTATTATATAATATATACCATTGATTCATAGAAAATTTGACTGTTTTGACATTTTGAGTCGTGGTGAATGGTCTAAGATCGTAAGTTGTAACCTATAAGGCTAAGTCTGTAACATGTTTCTATGAATGTTTATCATTTTCATTTGGATGTTTAAGACTTAAATGTCTAAAATTCGGACCCACGAACCCAAATTTGACCCACAAACTAGCCAACCTATGAACCCGTATAAATAAATGGGTTGGCGGGTCATATATGAGTTTATGTTCCAAACCCGCAAACACGTGACCCGCCAACCCGTGACCTGTATATTTAAATGGGTCGCGTTTGGGTTGGCATATTTTGACCCGTCAACCCGCGACACGCCAACCCGATCACGATACGATTGTCAGGCCTAAATGCACACGAAAGCAATATCAATCTGGTTGTTATGGTCATGCATCAACATGAAGACATAAACCATCCACCTTTTACACACTTCAAGGCTTGCTTTTAATTTAAGAATTCCCCAAAATGAATAAACCTTGTTTAAAAAAATTGGGTCAATGGTAGTTGTTTATGCTTGTATTTTTATGTTTTTTCTATTTTATTTAAGTGTTTTTTTTTTCTTAAATTAAAGTAATGTTATTTTATTGAATAAAAAACTAATATAAAAAATATATATTTTTATTGTATTTTTGAATTAAATTTAATTAAAAAAATAAACTGGAATGATGTGGTTAGTGATATGTATTATAATAATAATATGATAGGTATTATGATGATAATGTGACGTATAGATTCGTAAATGGAGAAACTAGTTAATGTCTTCATAAGATAACTTCTATTTTCAATTTATTTATTATGTTAATGTTAATCTACTCTATGGGCAGCTTAAGTTGCAAGTGCTGTATAAAATCCAATCTTTTTTTAACAACAAAATGTTCAAGCCCAAATATATTTTAACAACAAAATGTTATGGCGACGATGAAGCCCAATTCACCATTTTCTTTTTGTTAGTTAGAGAACGAGGGAAAATACTCCGGGAAGATCGAGCAGCCTTCAAACTCATCGTCTCAAATCTCATCCAAATCTATATACACGCCTTTTCTTCCCTCTGATGATCGATGATCGCTGCCGAATCCAATTAATTACTCCCTCACCTCTTCCTTTGTCTGCTTAATTGCTGGTGAGGACCTTTATCTTTACGATTTAGTTACTGTAATCACAATTCATTGCCAGATTCACTTACTTAGGGTTTATCGGAGCCCTTTTTTTTCTTTTTAAATTAAATTCAATGTTAAATAGTTAATCATAGAAGAATTAGTTTCACTATAACTTGGACCATGAACTTGATCCACAAATTGTCCAACTGGTATTTTCGATCTACAAAAGTGCACGACATTGAGCTTTTCTGAAGTTCTAAAAAAAACGCACAATTTCTAAAAAAAAAATATTCTTAGTTTAAAATTTCTTTCATACCGAGGTAACCGAGGGTTTTACAGAATTTCTGCTTCTACCTCTGATCTTTCATACGGATCCAGATGATTTAGCAAGTATTGAGGAAAATCACTGTCGAAAGAACACCTGCTACTTTGCAATCTGATTAATGGCTTAATGCAATTTACAGATCAACGATTGAAACTCATTTTATCTTTCTGCTCAGATTGAGATACAGATACTATACAAGTTGAAGAAATGCAAGACCATGGAATGGTTCCAATTGATGAAACAACACCACCAAAGTCAACAAAAAGAAAACCATCCACTACAAAGAAGCTAACACAAGAAAACAACACAAAAGGGGGTTCCAAAAGAAGCTCTAAAAACGAAGCGCAAATCTTCCAACAACAAGAAAAGTCAACAACTTCTGATTCTTTACCCGATTCTTCTTCTACTGGTAATGATTATCGATCCCTGAGACGCAAATATTTACTTTTAGAAGAAGAAAGCTTTAATGTTGGAAGAGAAACAAAAGAGATTCAAGATGCTGTTAAATCTCTTGAAGAGGAAAAACTCTCACTTTTAGATGAACTTGTTGTGTTGGAAGGCTTAGTTGACCCTTCAGATCTCAATGCCAATGGTCAACGTTCACCATAACTTCTTTCTAATTTAGTTAACACCAGAATTCTGTACTTCAAAAACTTTGAATATTTATTCTACTCTTGCTGCTTTTAACTTTTTTAGCTTGTTTGCTAATATACACCTTCACTTTCTAACGATAGCAAGGTATACAATAACACACATAAACCTAAATAGATCACTAATTCACTGCTGAATTTCATCAACACATGTTTAATATATTATGATTCCTGATTTCATTTAAATTAATAGCATCATAATCAACATTGTCATTCAACTTCACAACCACAATTCCTCAATTATTTGTCACTTCCTAATTAATAAATCAAGTCCACAATGCGATTGCTCCAAGTGTTTAATCATTAAGTCTCAAATGAAACATATTCCATTTTCATCAAGCTAACTTCATTCAAGAACAAACTAATGCCACAAATATCAAAAGCACTTCAGATAACAAAAAAAAAGATATTAACAACTTCATTAAATTTAGTCCAATAAACTTCATAATCAACATCTAATCTAAACTACAACAGCTCCCCTATAGATGAAAGTTGACCTTTGACTGGATGGATACAGCTCATGGGTCGATTTCAAGTTCTTGATTTGGCCTAGGAGTTTGACCGATGTTTGACCATAACAGATGCGTGGTTCATAACTTACAGCACATGAATCAAACATTGAATTACATTTTTAACCCTTATGCATCCTCATGGCACACACGCTAAGATGCTACATGAGGGAAGTGGTAAGGGTAAAATCGTCCAAACTGGGTAAAAATATGACTTAAGAACTCACTCACCACTTGGGATTATGATATGGCATCATTTCTTCTCTTCTACAATTTCACTTACATCTAAATCAGCTAAAGTATCCTTCCCAAACAACGTAAAACCAACAGTTACCTGAAAAAAACAAATGAGGAAAATTTGTAAAGAAGTCTCCTTTCCATGACTTTCTATATTAAGTCGCATTAAGTGTAACATTAAGTCAAAAAAAACGAAATAATGCATACATACCAATCCTCGCTTTCTATCTAACTTTTTTATGGTGCCTGAAAAGTCCAAAAATGGCCCTGACACGATCCGAACAGTTGACCCAAGAACAGGCCCTGAAGGTTTTCTTGATCGACTCTTGGATACTTTTTTATCTGAAAGTGGAAGTGATTTTTTCTCTAAAATCTCTAACTGTTGTTGTTCTTCAAATGCTTTATCTGTTGCTTCTTGCTTTTCCTTCACTTCTTGAAATATTGCTTCCATGTCAGCTGCGGATACTGGCCTGGGTTTGTTAATTTGCTTTTTTCTGCAAATAGAAGTTTTATGTTAGATGTTTAGAGGAAGCAATTTCGACCCGTTTACCTAAAATGGGTCAATTTGGGTCATTCGGATCTAACAGGAGAAGTTGTTGCTTACGTATTTCCAACCATTCTTCCAACGAATCCTCCAACTCCTTCACATTCTTCTCTTATAAAATTGTGGAGTTCCCTGTTCAATATGCAATTCAAAAACACACATCCGGGATACAAAGGCTTGGGTTTGATTGAAATCTTCCCGTTCTTCAACTTAGTTTTCTCAGAAACAGCTGCAGTAAATACCTGCCATCAAATCGTAAATGTCGTATTCAATTGGGGTAAAATCCGATGTAATTGTTGAAGCAAATTCTATGGTGATTATAGAACATCAAATGGAAGATAAATCAAACACAAGAGTGAATTAATCACCTGAAATTCAGCATCAGGAAAGTTCTTTGCGAGTGCCTGCATCATCCGTTCAACAGTATCCTTACCTTTAGCTCTGGAGACCTTGACGATCCACCATTGGGGACCCATTACCGCGAGTTTGTCGAGGTTAAGCTCTTCCTTCCAAGAGTTGAACTGCTTCTTTGGTTTCTTCAATAGCCTTTCTTCCACGTCTTCCCTCCAATTATACGATTTGTTTTCCTCTCTTTTCACGTTCCTCAACTCTCTCTTCTCTTTCGCAGTTAGAATTTCCGCTTTTTCGTCGACCGAGGTTTGAAGAGTTGCTCGGATTGGTTGAAAAACAACGCCGACGGTGGTGGATTTTGTGATGGTTGTGGGAAAGGGGAGACATGGACGACGCCATGAGAGAAGAAGCTCTTGGTTCATCCTGACGAACGTTATCGCTTCAGTCTTCAAGCTTTCCACAAACGACAAAGGGGATTTGTTAAAGCAGAGGTATTTGTTCATCTTTCAAAGTTTCTAGCGACAAAGTAAAAAAAATCGATCTAGGTTAGGGATGAAAATATTACAGTATAATAAAATTTAGAACTACTTTGTATTTTATCAATTATCTTTATAAAATTAAAAAACATTAATTTAATTATTAGTTATGATAATATTACGATAAATAAATATGAAGTTTTTAATTATAAAAAATATTTTTTATAATTAAAATATTTTATATTTAATTATGGTAATATTTCGGATAACTAATAACTAATAGTTTAATTAATGTTTTTTTATGTATATTTTATAATACATGTTTAAAAAAAAACTCAATAAATATTTTTTATAACTAAAATATTTTATATTTAATTATGGTAATATTTCGGATAACTAATAACTAATAGTTTAATTAATGTTTTTTTATGTATATTTTATAATACATGTTTTAAAAAAAACTCAATAAACAAAAGGATTTGTTAATACAGAAGATATTTGTTCATATTTGATCATTGAGTTTTTTTCATCAATATTTATCCCTCAACTTTTTAAACTGTATACATTCAATCTTTATAACCAGTTACTCCAGATAAACAAAAAAAATGACTTAATAAAATAATATATTTTTTCAATTTATGCACATTTAAACCTTAATATTTTTTTGTACATTTAGTCCTTGATGTTTATTAAGAACTACATGTATACAAAGTGAAATATATATTACTCTATTAAATCACTTTTTCCGGTTTAGCTGAAATAGTCGGTCATAAGGATTAAATGTGTATGGTTTAAACAAGTTGAAGGTGTAATGTGGACGAAAAAAATTCAATGACCAACTATGTATAAATAAAAAAATATATTATCCTTTTAAGTCATTATCCCATAAATAAACAACTAAATTAACATTATATACTACTTTAATCATAACAAAAACGTATACTTTCTAGGGCTTAATTCATTAACAGTGTAGTAACTGTTAGACGCAAACTGCTGGTTAATTATTTAATTCAAAGCATATTCCCTGAAAAGTGATGTGGTATCTCTTATATAACATAAGAAGATATTAAAAAAAGAGAACAAAATCATTTCTTTGATTTTTTTTAAAATCAATTAAAAAACGAAATAAGTTTCATAAATCAAATACAAATTAGTGATTGAGACTTGAGAGAATATATGAAGTTCGGTAAGCAGATTTATCGACTGAGATTAACGACAATTGGCTTCATAATCAATTTGGCTACAACCAATTTGGCAATCAAGACAAATGTATCAACCAACCTCATTCTTGGTAATATGTAGTTATATATTTATTTGTTCTTTAGTGTTAAATCAAACATATAAATTATTTAACACGTTTAATGAAAAATCATTTCAACCCGAAATTCCATCTTCAAAGAATTAACCAAAAGCTGAAAAACATTAGAAATTCAAAGTTCAAGGTAATGATCCGAAACAGCCATGAAATTATACTCATATTGAACTTGTATATATATATATATATATATATATATATATATATATATATATATATATATATATATATATTCTGAAATCAGGAAATAACCATAAAACTATACATATATTAACCATATAATAGCTCATATTGAATATATAATTTTTGAAATCAGGAAACAACCATAAAATTGTTAACATACATGAGAGGCTGAGAGGGATGCATAATGCTCAATGAATCAAAAACTAAAATACGTGAAAAGGAGACAAGACCGGAGTGGAGGCTTGGAAGCAACATCGAGCAACGACACTTACTATGATTCCCAGTGGAATGAATGAAGAAACAAACAAAGTGTGTTTGTGGCTTTCTACTTTGGGAAGCTGGCAAGTGAATGAAATTAGGTCAAACATGGTTAAATACATTCCTTATCCAATCTATTTTTTAGCCCAATTCAATATAAAATTATATATGATATATTTATAATATATTAGACTTTTATAAAAACTTATATATGAATAAATGGGTTATATACGATTCATTCTTGAGTTGGAAATCTTAATCTTAATCTTACCTGTTTAACTTTTGTGTTGAATCGTATCAACTTGTTTACTTAAACCTGTCGAAATCTATTACCTAACCATGTTTATTTTGGGTCGTGGCAATTTTTTCCACGTCTAATATACACACTTACCCTTGCTTATCTTTACTTTTAGCTTTAGTAATTGCTTTTTTTTTCCATGCACCACTATTTGTTCTTCATTTTGGTAAGATGTTCTTTATATGTAAACCGTCATTTTTTCGTGAATGTTGAATACCTCTTGCATTCCTTACATCCTTTGTTACACCAAAAATGGTGTTTGTGAATAGTACAACACCAAATAGGGTGTTATACTATTTAAATGTTTTTCATTTAACTTTGAATTTATGTATTTTTTCTTTATTATTTTGTAACATTCCCAAAAGCAGTGATAAAGTTTTTCGTTTAAAATCAATAGATTCAATCATCAAATAGTTCAAAGACAATCAAAAGGTATAATATCCAAAATATCAGAGTAAAAGTATCCAAAAGGTGCGGAATCATGAGGGGAGGATGTTGTGTCATCATGTCGGACCCTTCCCTTTTTGTACTGGAAGTACCTAAAACCATAAACAAAATTTTTAAGCACAATGTTTAGTGAGTTCCCCAAAGTACCATATATCAAACATACAACTGGGCCTAGCCCTAGGGTGTATCCCAACCCAATATATAAATATAGGCCCAACCCCAACACTTATTTTAACCCGATAAAAAAAATATGGGCTTAACCCTAAGGCCCTGCCATGGGGTTTATTTCAACCCGATCATACAATAATGGACCCAACTTTGGGATTTATTTTAATATGATCAACAAATATGGGCCCAACCCTGAGGTTTATTTCAACTCGATGCCTTCGACCCACGAATATAGTGAGAAGACTCACCTCTAACTGAATATAATAGAATTGCACACTCGAGCTGCTGTTAATACGACTCCTCACACTAAACATAACCCAATTACAATCCTAATTAATAATCAGGGTTTACCCACAATTACAATCCATATGTGCGTATTCCAAACCAGATGTAATAACCATTGCTTTCCTGATCGACTAGTTAACATTGAAGACCTTGAATCTCATAGATGTTATATAGTAACCTGACCATGCATCATGTAACGACCCAAAATTTAAGACCAAAAAATTCTTTTAATAAATCATTACTTAAAGTAAAATCATCAATCCAAAACATAATATGAGTATAAGTTTTCAAAACACATGTTCATTATTAGAGTAAACATTCCCAGGCTGTCTAATCTATGGTGTGTGCCATGCGATCACCCCGAGCTCTTCCCTCCGCTACCGGAAGTACCTGAAACCAAAACTGAAAACCATAAGCACGAAGCTTAGTGAGTTCCCCACCCTACCACATACCATGCATAACCACATACTACACATACTGGGCCACGCCCGTGATGGGTTTTGGTCATAAGACATCCTATGTGCTCATACAAACCCTAATGCTTGGATCTAGGTTTCTCTATTGTACATGATTTGAATCCAAGACTATAAACCCTAATTCTAGCATATGGAAATTGATATTAACATATAATTAGGTTTAAGATATTACCTTGATTGTTATGTAGCAATAACAATCCTAATTCCTCTTTGAATTGACTTTGAAAGGCTTAGAGTCACGAGTGTCACTCCTCTAATGGTTCACAAACACCAAGAGCAAATGGAGAAGGTATAAAGAGAGAGGAGAGAGGTAGGAATTCGTCCTTAGGACTCCTTGGAAAGGCTTACACGAATTCATGAGCCTTACGGGGTTTATATAGGTGTAAAGATTAGGGTTTTAGTCATTATCCTTATCTAGTTGCTTGCCCACCAAGTAACCATAAGATAAGTCTTAGAAACCCTTATCCTAGTCGAATTCTAAGGCATTATCTCCTTAAATTCGTTCACCCTATATTTAAGATAATCCTTACCTTATTTTGTAACTATCACATAATTACAAATCAGCCCCTCTAGTTTAATTAATTACACTTGATCACAAAATTAATTCCTAATTAATTATTGACCAATATTAATTAAACAAATATGATTTCTCCTTTAATATATTATTCTTATAACATATTAATAAATCATAATAACCTCTCTCTTTATTTATTTCTCCAATCAAGTTGCTTTGGTGAAGGCAACCCAAAAGGACCATGCACCATCGGGTCAAGTACATACCAAAATAGTTATGGACTTAGACACTAATCCAACAGTCTCCCACTTGGATAAGTCTAATAACTATTTGCGTATGACTTCAGATCCTGATCTGCAATCGTAGCTTTCCAAAGCCGCTGTCAACTCTGATCCTATCAGATACGCGTGTCCTTAGATAAGGGATCATATATTCCTCCATTCTAGATATCGTATGAGATATGATTTCTAATCATTCTCTTTGTACTATTTCTCGATTTCCGATTTATGACGACTGACTAATTGAACAAATCAAATTAGCCCTAGCCCGGCCGAGCATTTACGTTTGTCATCACTAAACCATCGAGGGGCCCAAAGATATCGCTTTTATCCTACTTGGATAAAAGGAACGGATAAACTTTGATACAATGCTTGCTTGCACTCACTAACCAAATCACACACAACAATATGTTTTATAACACCAAGTTACTAGTGCGTTTACATATTATCAATGTGCAACCGATTAGCAAGATACAACTCACACATCTCGGTTTCAAGAATATAAGATGTTATCGTCTCACCAATCACTCGTGATACAATTCATGGAGTGATCCAAGTGAGCGTGGGTTTAATCCAATGCTCAAATTCATATTCATAAGCACTCATGAATGTTGCAGCAAACATTTGCTTATGTCTAATACTCTTTTAGACAATCCACACACCAATTCACGACAGTCTTCATTCATATCTACTTCCAACATATGAACGACTGTGGCCCGTTTGAATAATTCGATTATTCTTAATAAACTCAATTATTCTGGAAGTCAAAACATGCAAAGTGAAACACAAGAATAATACTAATCCCATATGGCCTCAACCCTTTGAGCATAAATAAAACACCTTTTATTTATC